TAGGACTGCCGCAGCCGCCTCCACTGACCGACTGCTTCGCATGGGAGTTCATAATACGTGGGAAGAACTCACCGAAGCACATCTCATCAACCAGGCCGAGAGACTCAAGCTCTCACTCACAGGGCAAGCCGTCCTTCGACGCACAGGATACCAGACCACCCTAGAAATAACAAAGAACGCAAAGGCAAAATACCGTCACAGCTGCGAGAAAGCCTTGAAATTCAGCAGATTCCTCTAAATATGCATCCTCAACATCACCGAGAAAGGCGGCTCGCCAGGGATAACATGGTCCGGAAAAAGCATGGCAATGACCCGCAGGCGCGATACGTCGATGCAGCCAAATATCCGGGACGTAATGCCTTCGTGATAACCGTCGCAGATTACAAGGGCGAGGTACTGGCATCGGCAACTATCCTCGCCAAACGTGCGGAAACAGCTGAAGAGGCTGCTATAGCACTCGCCACCCAGACGAGTGAGGATCCCATCGTGGTCTTCACCGACTCACAAACAGCGGCACAGAACTACCTGAAAGGCAGGGTCTCCACGGTGGCGATTAGGCTACTGAAGCGCATTGACAATCCTCCTCCCTACACATGCATCGTGTGGATTCCGGGTCATGAAGGTCTCGAGGGAAATGAAGCGGCACACACCGCAGCCCGCGAATGCGTCAACCGGGCATTCCCATACGAGATTCGAGGCACCTCCCACTCAACAACAGAATCAGAGGCAAGAGAAGCCATACCACTAACGTACCATGCATTACAGCAACATTATCGGCTCGAACGCAGGTTATACCCTCTGCCACATCCAAAACTCACAAGAGACGAAGAGACTGACTATAGGCGTCTTCAAAGCAACACGTTCACCCACGGCGTACTATTGCACTATATGAGGTCAACGTTGCACAGCTACATCTGCCCTCACTGCAATGTGGCAGACACTCTGGCGCACCTCCTACTGCAGTGCAAAGTAAGCGTTCCAAGACTACCAGCAGCAGCACCAGATGCGGACCAAGACCTTCTCAGTGAAGCGTGGGAGGCCGCGATCTCCCAGCCGGACCTGGTCGAGCAGCGTCAACTCATTGCTCGAGCTCGGCGGGCTGTCCAAGCCAGAGGGTTCCTGGAATAAGGGACCCTCCCACCTTCATTCACAAGCTTCTTTCATTAAATGTTTTCTCTCTCACACACATTGCGAAACACAATACTGAACTATGACTGAGTATGCGCGCGTGTGCTGCGGATTGTGTTGAGTTTATCTCTCTTCCCTCTCTGCTCTCTATCTTTCATCTCCCCTATCCCCCTCCCATGCATAGGGTAGCAAACCGGCGGCGCCCAGGCTGGCTAACCTACCTGTCTTTCATTTCCTCCTATTTTCCTTCCTTCCCACAGAACCAGTCCACACATATCGGAGCCGTATGTCGAGATCGTGACAAGACGGAATTTCTGGTCCGAAACGGGTCGCTGCAGACCAACTCTCCACCTGGTGAGACTGCCTCCTACCGGGACACGTCGTGCATGTGAGAGACTTCGGCACGGGCCACCAGCTCGGCTACCTGTGGGAGCTGTACACCAAGTAGGCTCCAAGGTCATGAGCTGCGTCGCAACTCATTTCGAGGAATACGGTACATATGCTTCACAGGATACCAAGGTGCAGCTGGGTGCGTCGTATGAAGTGTGCTAGACGCCACATTGCGCAATACGCAACAGTTAAGCATGTTGTCCAGTCATCAGAACAGCAACAGGACAGGCGTCAGCGTTTTGGGATGGGCCTGTGACCAAGACGAGGCATTCAGTGCCGTCCGCAAGAACCGCCACTAAGACTTTGTGCGAAGTTACTTTATGGCCAGGGGCGTCGAGTACCACTAAACTGCCAATTCCGTCCATGACAGTAGCTTCTGACAGTTTTTTATGCAACGTCATAGTGTGACTCATCTCGACCACCGCGACACAGTCAATGTGGACAGCCGGATCCGCCATCCGAAAAAATCCAAGCGAAGCCCGAGCTACCAAGACGACATGGCCTAAACAGTCCACCAGGGGCAAATGAAACCGCCTTCCTTGAAAAGTTGCAGCGTGGTCGAGGTAATTGACCACCGCGTCCGATCAGACAGTTTCACACTTTATATCTGGTAAATATTACTGTCTTTCTGCTAACTACAAATGCCTGCGAAATACAAAAAAGCTTAACTGCAACGGTGAAGCAATGAACGCGATAGCAACAAATTCGAAGGTCCCGCGCAGAATTACAAGCAGATCAAAACGTTCCCCGCGTTTTTCACGCACAAATGACGCACGAAACGTGCTCACAGGTACAGATGAACGCAAATAAGCGTCTCCGTTGTTACTTCGCTGTGTCTTAAAAGTGCACCCTTTTCGCTAATGGAGGCAGTGCAACGATTGCAGAGACATTTTTGATTGATTGATATGTGGGGTTTAACGTCCCAAAACCACTATATGATTATGAGAGACGCCGTAGTGGAGGGCTCCGGAAATTTAGACCACCTGGGGTTTTTCAACGTGCACCCAAATCTGAGTACATGGGCCTACAACATTTCCGCCTCCATCGGAAATGCAGCCGCCGCAGCCGGGATTTGAACCCGCGCCCTGCGGGTCAGCAGCCGAGTACCTTAGCCACTAGACCACCGCGGCGGGGCGCAGAGACCTTTTTGCACCCGGTAACTGCAACATAATTGTTCCGACAAACCTCAAAGGCCAGCCAAGACGTACGATCCTCTCCACTGCAAGATAAGGGCGTTCGATCGAGCGTGCACTCGCTCATTCTCTACGCGGGCCAAAGTACGCGTGAGAGATGAGAGCCACCGCGCGCTCACTGCGCCATCTTGCTGATAATGCTGAAAACACGATAATTCCCCTCACAGATGCCTGCCAACAGCTGTAAGTGGTAAATATAAATAGCTTGCCGTTAGAACGTTGAAAGAGGTACCTCTCGGTGGCCCAGTGGTAAACGCCTCTCATTCACGTCGTGAAGGTCCCACGTTTGATTCCGCACGCCAGAGTGTTTATTCTGGATTTTTTCTTTCTTGCGTTTTCGTATATACAGATACGTATACAAATACGGTGCATAAATTCCACGTGCATAAAATCACTTTTGTGGCTGATAGTGAAACGTGTTCATTGTAAAGCCACCACCATCGATGCGGCCTTGTCGAGACAGCACAATTGGGCAAATGCTATGGCCATTCGTGTACGCAGAATGTTAGCGAGCACTATAAAATCATCGTGCGCACAGGCGCACGAGCACGCTTGTCACGTGGTGTTTTTTGCATTTCACGGGCATTTGTAGTTACTAGGAAATCACTAAAAATTAACAAATATAAAGCTCGCGAATGTCTATTAGGGCGCTTGAAAAAGCAATGAAAAACTTTCTCTTTGGAATATCTCCCCATTTTGGTTGCTTGAAAAGTTATTTATTAAAAGTGACCTATTTAACAATTAATTGGAAGACAAAGAATCGTCTAACTCACTCCAGGCAACAGTCAGCAACAGGCATTTGATCGCGTCGTCATCGCGTGTGCCGGCATACTTTTAAACTCTGGCTAAATATAGCTGGGGCACCCTGTTTATATAATCCTCAGCGAAGCACCCACGATCAGCCAAGCTTGCTTTTTATCTTTAGGTCAGTTGTCACATAGTTTCATTACGACCAGATGACCTCGGCAATTTTTGCCTTTTCAGTTGCATTTTCACTTTAGTTTTCGCTTTCCTGCGCGTTGGACAGATTTATTACGCAGCTACGTGAATATCGCGTAGGGGACTCATAGACAAGGAACTGACGAAGACTAGCGCCTTCTCTTGCGTTATCACAGGCTGAACGTGATTACCTAGCTGGGCTTTGAGGCAATAGAGGACCTGTCACACGTGTTTTGTCACTGATGTGCAGATTAGGCGTGCATTGTACCTTCATGCTCTGTTATCATCCTTTTTAGCAGTATATATTCTTGCAACTCTGTGAAATAAAGTTAGTTGGAAGTCAGCGCTCTTTCTGTCTACCCTGTCCTTTTTCCTTTGTTCGCGCGCTGAAACATCTTGCAAATATGACTACGCACCAACTAGCCCAAGTTTCCACTCTTCTCTGGAACGTTTTTCACGTAGCTATGGAATAAATACAAGCCCGGCCACAGACCTCGTTTTATTACTAATTTTAATAGTTGTCTTTTTTACGTACTGAATAGGCTGATATGTGCGTGACCACTTTCCCGTGGTACGACCGATAGAAAACAAACCTCAAACCATGGTGACGACGAAAATCTTGATATTGGCTTGTTAGTCACATGTGCAATCATTTCTTATTCGGAAATGAAACCTTGGACCTTCAATACGTTCGTGCGCGATACCTGGTGTTGAATACCATGTCATATTATGGTAATTGGAGGTGCGACATGAAAACAATTTTATTGGAGTTAAGGTTTTCATGGTTCTCTGCAAGGGTTACCCAAACATTAACAGTAGAGCCACGTGACCGCACGTTCTCCCGCGAGCTGCTGTGGACGGATGCTGTGGAGGATACTTACCCAACTAGTCGAACGCTCGTACACAGCGCTCTCACCTCTCGGCTTCAGTGCTACTTGAACGTTCTTATTCGGTGCTTTATACTCCCGTTCCATTTCACAATGCAACAGCAGCGCCGACTGCGCGTTTGTTTGTAGCACACGACGCTGTTGCGTCAGCTTTTGTTTTCGCCATCGTTCTGGCAAGCGGTTCAACAAATACTACATGGTGGTTCTGCGGCGTGTCCGACAAGTGGAGAGAAACGCTTAGTACTTCATCTTAGCGTTTAACGAAAAAAAAAAACTCGCAATATTAGGCCAAATCGTAGTTTCGCACTCGCTAGCTGCACCTGCTTCCACAACATGCTGTGGAAAGTAGTCAGATTTTACAGTACTTAACACTGCTCCAACAAGTGGCACAACGCGTCAACACTTCAGAGTCTGACGTCTGTAGACGCTGGTTAACACAGACACACAGGCTGTGAATACTTACGCGCAAGACTTTTTGAAGTTTTCCCCAGAAGAGTGAAGCTGTGTTGTCTTCGCGTATGGCACGTAGTCGTCGCCGCAAGCCCGGAGAGTCTCCAGCTTGCACCCTGCCTTCAGCTGCGCTCGACAAGGGCCTGCGACCGAGCAAAGTGGAATGAGTGTATACGTGGCTGCGGTTCTTCAACACCGCGCTACCTTCCCGGGTGCGATATGCTCACAGCGATTTATGGGCCCTCAGTTTGTTGAAACCTTCGTGCATCTTCGCAGAACACATAAGCACTTGCAAACAAGCCGAGATGTAGGTTATCACAGCACAAGCACTTACTTGCGATGAATCAGTTATTCCAAAACTATTAGGGGACTCTAAAGCTTAGCCTTTAGGAGTTGCATGCGGTAGCGACATTCTGTTCGTAGTGCGTACTTCGAACAGTTAGTGCATGAAATCTGTTCAAATTTACCATGCACACTCTACAGGGCCTTAAGGAAATAGGCACAGTAGCATGTGTGTCTTTTTTAGTGAGGTACTGGCTTTCAATTATGGAGGTTTTATGAGAATCACATAGTCTGACGCCCTTTGGCAGTGGACGCTTGACCACGCATTATTAATGCAATATTTCATGTTGCATTGTGAGTCATTATAAAGAATGCGTGTGTTTGTGAAGCATGAAAGCTACTTCCACTGCATTACAAAGCAGAAAAAGTTCTTTTCACCGTTCGCACAAGCTGAAGTGTGTCCGTGTGGTAGAACATTCACTTGCCACGCAAAGGACCTGGGTTAGAACTTCACTCAGACCCCAACAATCCTGGTTTTGTCCACACTATTCTCCGTGGTTTTTTATCAATTATTTAAATAATTTGCATTGTTCTCGATTTTCAGGTCACGCATAAGATGATTTTTCGTTCGCTACTGCCGACGTCAAAAGTTCCGCGAAATGAGCTCTTTAACGTTATCGCGTTAAAACTGCATTAATAGAAACACTTGTTTTACGTCGTAACAATCTTTATGCCTTGCGCAAGCACTGGTAGCTGAAGTTGCTTTAACTGCAAATATTTCAGATTTTGCATGGCCATCAAAAAAAGCTTTTGTCTGTGCAACAGTTTAAAACGAATGAAATTTAATAAAAATCAAGAACGTAATGATTTAGTAAAATAACCAAAAAAGCATGCTCTAGGACTAAGAGCACATTTGTATAACAGGCGACCATATTAAGTATTTTGGTACAGTTTGGCTATTGATGTTCGTTTCCCGCCTACTAATGTGATGAGAAAGTGTGTCAAGTTTCAATGACAAATGTTTAATTCCAGGAGATTTACAAGTGTTCGCGTATGGAAAATCACCACAAATATAAACACCGAGAAAATTTACATATAATTTTCGAAAGAGACTCGGTACTTACACAAGATGATCAGGAGGGCTGAAATTCTAAATATTTGTAGGTAATTTCACCGTGTGTCGTTTCTCGAGCGGCAACTCTCAATTTTTTTTATCTTGTTTTGCAACATGAACGCCTTGATGGGGCACTTTCGCGCTGCGGTGCTATTCATCTGTGTGACAAGGTTTTCCAGTGTAGAAGCCAGGCTCGATCCGAATTCGCTTTGAAAATATCAGATGTGCTTCTGCTACTTTTTTTAAAAGGCACACATCGTTGAACAAAGGAAACGTGATGTGATGGATTACAAGCTCACATTATGCTGTCATTGATGGTGAACAACACATTTACCACATTATGCGTTGCTCTAGTGAGAGCTTCATTAAATTTATAATTATAAATGATGTGTTTGCAGTGCTTTCAAAGCATTGTGACATGTTGTCACTACATATGATTGCTAAATAACCAACAAAAGACTACATGTCAGGCTAATCTTCTGATTCACACAAAACTGGTACTTTAAGTTTCAGTTTCATATAGGTGAGGTTTGGTCTAAGCGTGTTGCACGTATGTTTGAAAAAAAAAACTACATAGACGGAAGCATTACACAACGAATTGAAAGGCAATGAATTGCGAATTTAAAATAATAACAACGAAAAACCAAGTTTCCAGTAAAAATTTACTTTTTTTCACTAGGCTTTTCTGCTGTGAAAAACCAACTCGCCCAAAAATCAGTGCTTCCTCCATCTTTGAAATTTGCTTTTCGAAATAAATCATGAAAGAAGTGTTTTTTAGTTGCTCTTGTAACGATGCATAAGTTCATAAGAGACCCCTTAGAAAACCCCTCAATATCCACCAAATTTTTTTTTACGTATACTCCGTCCATGTTCAGACGATGTTTTCGCACTGCTATACTGCATTGAAATGGTGATTCAGCTGCAAATCAAACTTTGGACTAGCGCGAGTCTATAGGGATGTATTTCAGTCCATCAAAAATAATTTCGGCTTATAGTTGTTTCGACAAATTGTACCCTCCTGGTGAAGCAAACGTTCCAAGGAAGGAAGGACTACAGAAGAGAAGAGGCAGAGAGTTTAACCAGGCAGCAGTCGTGTTGGCCACTCTATGCTGGGGGAGGTAGAGAAAGGGGATTAGAAATATGAAAGACTTGCTTTAAACGATTGAGCAGTATTTTAGGTGCCAGCACCTGACGATAGTGCGTTCCATGTGGACTTCTCGTAATCATCACCTCGTGTTGTTCTCCATGCATTCGATGACTGGGAATGAAATGGAAGAACTTTATTTATACGCGTCCATTCAGGACGTACACTAGCAAGTAGTGGGCCGCTCCTACGTCGGGACAGGTGGGCCTAGCCTCTCCGTCATGTCGCCGACCTGTTACATTGGTCATACTTTTGTTTCCAAATCCGGAAGGCGTAGCGCAGCATCTCATCTGCTCGACGTATCATCATTTTCACCTCGTAATACAGAGCATCGCCTGAGCGTGTGTTCCGGCTTGCGAAACCTGAAAAAAGCACGCATCGTTGACATCTCAATTTCGGGACAGTGGGGCATAGATACGACCCGACATCGCCGGAGTCCGAGTGTCAACGCGGGGTGCCTGTTCGATTAGTTGGTGTGGTGGCCGATACTTCGGCGACCTAGATAAAAGTTTGTTGTTAGTTCTTTGTGCTTGCGTCTGTGATCCAATATTATTAGGAGCAGCAGAGCCACGCCACTCGATGGCTACGCAGTCAACAACTTCTCACGTGGCTATTGGGGCTGATTAGTTGGACTCGGATAGGGCGCCTTCAATATGTCCCATGTGTGCAGAGAAACGAACGATGGTGTGTTGGGTTGGCTATAAACGAATAATAATAATAATAATAATAATAATAATAATAATAATAATAATAATAATAATAATAATAATAATAATAATAATAATAATAATAATAATAATAATAATAAAGAAGAAGAAGAATGTATGGACACAGTATAGCACTGTTGAGGAGCATATTTTTAAGCGGGAGCCCGTGTAGTGCACCAAAGTGTCAATTACACCCCGGCGTAATTAATCAAAACTAATAGAAAGACGATAAGTGCGCATCAAAACTGCATAAACGAACACCGATTTTCCTTAACGGAACAGATTAAACTGAAATTTGGTCAGTACACTGTACCTAAGCGTAGCACCTGTCTGCGCCTCGCCCCCTTTACGCTGCGCCAGGTGCCAGCTATGGCAGCCTGCACTTCTGGAAGGTTCCTCGTGGTGGCGCGTCAACCTCCCCCGCGTGGGAGCGCATGCATCGCGCCCTCCCTGCACTCATTCGAGTACCGAGCGCTGGGAGCTAACCCCATTCAAATCTTCTAGGTTTACGTTCAAGTCACCTGGATTTTTTAGGCCCACGCATTTTGTTCGGAGTAGTTAATTCAGAACCACAACACTTGAAATGGGTGCATCTGTTCTTGCCTAACAATTCTGATATTGTCAAAATATATTCTTCTGGATATTGAACAGACCGCTTTTTTTCACCAATGTAGATGAATCCCACCAGACCTTTTTTTTAAGTGTTTCGGCGCTACTAGTGGCTCTGCTACAAAACGGTGCAGAAATATAAGAAACACTACTGTGTCGAGAACCGTGAAGTCGGAGTATAATTAGACCCAACTGGGCACCTGATTTGAATATGCGTGCTTGCAAAAATACATTTCTACCTTACTCCCTGGGTGATACGCGCCTTACACTACAATAGCAGAGCTCGGTGTGATAGAGCGGTAACGAGAAAGCTGCAGCAATTGTTGATAACTACATAAATTGATTCATGCCAAGTATGCGTATTTATGAACGCTACTGTAGCGGCCGGCACTCTAGACGGCTTGTTGAAACAATGTTCATTTTGCCTTTTTTAAACCACATTGCTTCGCTATGGCACGCTTGTTTTATAGCGCTTATACATATTCTTCACATACATATTTTTTTGCAAAACTATTGTATAGTCTCCCTCACATGATGCTTCTATTTGGAGCCAGTGAGGTATTTGTAAATAAAATAAATTAATAAAATGAGTGGTGTGTATGTTGCTAGCCCAAGGACTGTGGGATTCATAGCGTCGCAGTTGATAGCGAATGAAAACTGGCGGAAAGCTTACAACGGCTATCGACATATCGCTATAGTGGTCACGCTCACGAGCTGACCCCGTCCTGAAATGGCTGTTCTTCGCGAGGAGTAATTATATTGGTTTATACATGAATAAAGCTAAGAACCTCAATTTTCTGATAGAGAGGTTTCGCCCACGCATTTGCTGAACACTTTGACCGTGCTTTCACCGAACATCCACTGTATCTGGGAGGGGGGATGTACAAGTTATGCCGGTGCCTTGACGTTTCCCCAGTTTTTATATACATATACTTCGATTTGTCTATTTTTACTTGTTCTTTAATGATTAAAAAGAGTAATTTAGGTCTTTCATACTCTGTCCTTTGTTCTAGTGGTTCAAGGTGGGCCAGCTTGCAAAGCTGAGTTGGGGAGTGGCAGCGCTGGTATTTGTTAAATATGAAACGTGACGCCAATCTTTGTATTCTATCTAGCTTAGTGCGATTACTTGTTGCGTATGGATCCCATACCACCTTTGCGTACTCCATAATTGGCCGTACCAAAAGCCTTGTAAGTCAAGCATTTGATTTCCGGGCTAGCATGGTGCAGATTTCACCGAAGTCTGCACAATGCTTTGTTAGCCTTAGCACAAACGGAGTCTACATGCAAGTTCCATCGTAGATCGGAAGTTATTAATAAACCCAAATATTTGTGTTGTTCTACTCTGCCAAGCTCATGATCGTTTATCGTGCTTTCACCGAACATCCACTTTTATGAAAAGGGCGAGCTTCGTAGAATGTATTTTCGAGCAAGCAATTTTTATGCATATAATATGAGAAATAGTTTCTTTTCATATATCATAATATTCTTTAGATAAATTTCCCGTGAAAATTTACTTTACTTGTACTTAGGAAAAAAATCATAAAATCCATTTCCCCCTTTCAAAGCTTCCACAAAATTGCTCTTGTGCTCAGCGTATGCATGCACGTTCACTGCATGTGCCAAGACACTTTTGAGTAGTTCAATAATATAATTTTCTAAAAAAAACTATTTTTCTAATGTCTTTTAGTTCCAAACGTCCTTAAAACGAGCTATGAGGCCTCTCACTTAAAACAGTTCTCCTCTAAAAACACGTCGGTCACGCAGTCTACGCTATGCTACTGGTAGCTCTCCTAAATCGGCGGTACAGAAGGCTATTAGAAAACTCGGCTATGGTTGCTTCGCTAGGTTCTTTGTGCAAGGACATTTATTGTCGCCTTCATCTCAATGGCGGACTGCTGACTAACTGTTCTACATTTATTTCGCCCTTCCCTTTTTTGTGCCAGTACATCATGCAGAGCGTTATAATGAAGCGGCTCGAACCAAAATTTGGCTTACCGATCAGCAATGCCCAAAGTAGCACGGCACCGACACCACGAGTCCTTGAAGCCATCATCGCCGCTTATGCTTGCACGGTGTCTCGAAAGAAAGTGTCGCCAGCCGCTCAGTTCGCGCAATTTTATTAATGTGTGTGCACGCCCACGGTGGTCGGGCAAGAAACGTAAAAAAAAGACAAACAGAGACCTTGTCAGAGAAACAGGTTCCGCGTTGGCGCAATGCTGCTTCGGCCTACTCTTATAGTATGCAGTATAACGTAGTTAGATTTAAAAAAAAGGCGAATGACGAACATAACGCGAGGAAAAGTTACGTCTTCGCCAAGAGAATGGTCGGAATTGTGAAATCTCAATAAAGGCATTGAATGTTTTCTTTTTTCTCGCATGAACATCTATTTACCAATAGCTTCCACCTTCTCATAAAATTCTCCAACTGTGTCAAAGCTTACGTGCCTTTATTGAACTTGTTCTCAGTGCTTTAAAAAGAATCTCTAACTGGCAGTTGCTCGTGAGGTCGCTGGTGAAAGCTGGAAATTCGAGAGCCGCTCCATTACCTTTTCGTGCAAGGACAAGACATCCCGTTTCAGCGGTCTCCAAGTCACTGCAGCGCACTGGGTGACGGACATTCCGACCCAGGTGCTCGATCAGCACACGTGAACAAGAATTCATACCGTTATGAGAGACAGCTGCTGCAGTGAAAATTCGAGACACTGCCAATGAAGACATAAAATTCTTGTCAAACACACAAAGTTTACAACACTGACTGCACAGACTGCACTCGTCTCGCAGGCATCAAGCGCCGTCCGTACTCTCTCGACTCGAGAAAACGATGGTTTGCTCACTGTAGCTTGGAGGCACTTTCACCAAAACTTTTGCTTTGGAACAACACTCTGCTGCCTGAGATCGCAGTTGCAGTGATGACACGATAGACCACAGTCTTTGTCAGCACCTTCCCAACAGCGCGCATGGACGGCTGCTAGCTGCTGTGTTAGGTCCCCTTGGCAACATCACCCTGTCAGCACGGTCCGCGATCGAACGCTGGAACGAACTGTGTTCACACTGAAAATCAATCGAGGCCTTATTAAACTTTTCTGCGCGGCGTTCGCCTGTTAAAAGCGATATTGTACTCCTGTCCTACAAAACATTTCTTTGTTTATTTTTTCTCACCCTGCTATTTTCTCCCCACTTATCTTTTCATCGGTCTTTCTCCCTCTCTTTAACGTATGGTAGCAAACGGGATGCTACAATCCTGCTTGTTTCTCTTTCTAGTATTGTAAGCTGCCGAATACTAATATTCACGCGCAAATTTATGTAACACACAAAAAATGTGTTCACGACATAACATATATATAGCCCAAATAACTCTATACTTTGGCCCTTTCCTCTCGAAAGGATTTTCAAGGCCATAGTTTGCCGGGGGGGTTGGGACTCTCATTGAATAAAATTGATGAAGCATGCCGCAAATCACGCAAGAACTGAAACTGCAAATCAGGAGGAATATGAAGACTGATCTGATTGCTTCTAGGTAATTTTTAGGCTTTGGCTATGGGATTTAGGTCCCAGGTTGCTATTATATTCTTGGCAAGCCTTAGCTGGGTGATGCAATGAGACGTTGCATTCCAACCACAGGCAGTTGCAGCCCCGAAGTGGTTGTCCAAACACCGGAGAAAGAAACTCGTGGTGAAACAAAGCGTTCGCAGCTCTACAAAATTGACGGACATGAACGTCATCGTTAGAGTAGGCCTTTTATCAATTCTGGCTTTTCGGCTCACCGCAGTCGCTTCGCATCCATTCGTTAGGATAACTGTCGCCCCCTTTAGTTTTAATTGAACACCATTGAGTAGTGGTATATGTTCGTGCTCTTTGGTTGATACCCGTTTATGATGACGATAGTTTTTTGCGATCAATTACAAGGAACTACTTTTATTTTGCTAAACAGCTTAGGAATTCCCAGAATTGTTTAATTTTAGAAAGTTCAAGTGTGAAGCTCAAAGTCAGATAAATATTTAGCAATAACTTATCGCTATTCTGCAAACTTCGTTTCTGAGATTTTTAAAACGCGCCAGTCTGATCTGTATGAATTTATACTTTAAAGGGAAGCTGAAGCACTTCTCTCAAAGATGACGCAGGAGCGTGTAAGGACAGTTTGATTCCTACTGAATTAGAAAAGCGATGTGAGAGTTCTCAAAAGTGAGCGCCAATAGCACTTTTCGGTGGAACAATAGTGGCTATGGCCGCCGGGCTTCTTGAGACGCTGGGCGAACACGGTGGCGTCATTCTCGGCATGCCACGTCATCTGCAACAGCAGCACTGCTGAAGTGTGGCCTGTTCTATTAGTTCCGGCAACGGCACGTCATGGGCTAGTCACGGAAGCCATGGGTGAAGATAAGAAAGTACACTAGCTCGAGGACAGAGGAAACGAAGATGACGTATGTTTGCACGCCCACACTTTCAGCGCGCCTGCCGGGGTGGAGCAAGACGAGCTTTTATTTCACCTGTTCTAAAGCTCCTGCTGCTACAACCACAAAAAAATTATGACATCAACAACAATAATGTCGGTTCTTCGTAAACACGATGTTTGATTGAATTCTAACATCTCTTCAGCTTCCCTTTAAGTGTTTAGGCTCATTCAACTATACGTTGATGTTGTCAAGGCTATCGCCAACATTTAGCGATGTAATTTAAAGTTGGATATTCTATCGAATTCGTCCCTTTGAAGTTCATTTTGCAGGGTTTCAATACTGAGATATTGTTGTGAATTGTCCCTTGGTATACGATATTTATTAAAACGTTTACCAAACTTTCGAACTTTAAAGTCGTTGGCCCCTGTAAACCAAAAAATTTACTTGCAGCTGTCGCTAGGTTCCCATTTCTCTTACCTATACGCAACAGATGTGATCAATATTCATACAGTTGCTACTGAAAAGATCTATTCCCAGATCGATGCACACCTAAATAAGTACGCATTGCCCTGTACGTCAATTGGCAGCCCATGTTTCGTGTCATTTCGCTACTAGGAACGAATGTTTGAAGTGTTACAACAGCTCTTCCGCTCTATGGAGTTTTACACGTGTGCACAAATCATGGTTTCCTTCGTGCATCAAAACACATGTCCCAATCAACAATGACACCCGTTCTTTTCTGGTGCCGTACGTACTTCGGCGGGTCAAGACTAACCCCATCGAACCTTCAGCTTTCACACTGCCGGTGTATTTACTGCAGGCGAACTTTGCACATTTGACATTCTCCTAATGAATTCATGCGCACATACACCACCTAAGACGAAACCTTCTGTCGAGACACGTTGTCATTATTAACTGGGCTATTGCTAACTGCTATTCTCACGAGCGACGCACTGCTGTCTGACAATTCATCTTCGCTAAGGATTAATGTTACCGCTTCAATTACCATCAGAAATTGGAACATGAGTATTGCTCGTAACAGTGGCGACTTTCCAGCTGTACTCCACACACAGATGCTCTAAATAAAGGTTCCAAAGCATGTACAATATATATCTTGTGATTTATTTGCAATGCAGCGCTAACACACGCTCAGTGTTGGACAGGCTAGGACAACTGCACAGTTGTTACAGAATTATTTTTAGTTGTAGGAACGGATGACAAAAGTAAAAAAAAAAGCATGCGACCCGCTGCGCATCACTAGAGTTTAGAAGAGGTAAGTGAACCGAATATTCCTTCACCAACGACGAAATCTACGCCGCAAGTTCGAAGGGCATATAACACATATTGAAGACGATGGCCGTTCTCGGGATATTTCAGCGCAAAACATTTCTCTGTCTGTTGGCGTCTGCCCAACAGTGATGCCAACGTAAGACATCGTTTTATCCGTAAAATGACCCTCGAAAATTTCCTATATTACAATGTCATCCGCTAGGCTGCATTTTAATGTCATTATTGAGGGTAAAAGACTCCCAACTATGTATAAGATCGTGCGCCCTGCAGGCGCCTACACTAATCCCACAATTATGAAACTCGCTTACCCCAATTTGTATATGACCAACTCGTGCAAGATTGAAGTAGAAGGGCCCCATTAGCGCATATTCTCTTGGCGTATACCGCACTAATTGGCGCAATGAGAGACGCAGCTTTTAATGAGCACCTTCGGGTGCATTGGCAGACCACGCTGCTCAGCTTAGAACTATAGTCAACAGTGGGCCATCCAGCAGGCCTAAAAAGCTTCTAGGCTCGAAACCAGCCCCTATCCCGCAGGAAACTGAATAAAGTTATTCGCTCACTCTTTGGCCGTGCATTCTCCCGAATCTTCTTTAAAGTAAAAAGCTGCATTGACCACTTTTAAGGCCATTTTTTCTACACGTTTTGTGGAGTAACCAGCTTGCAAACGGCACCAGTGGTCACATAGACAGATTAGCGCGTCATGTTCAGATTACGCACGCAATGAACACACAGATGTGGTCATTCGGGTCAACCGCAAGTCTGTGGTGCCTTTCTTGTACTTGCAGCTTGTGAGCTGGTAGTGTATTCGTCACTTTCCCCATTTGCAATCCATGTTGCATTATTTTCAGTATATGTACTTTCGACATCAAATGAAACATGTTAAGCGGAGCACGCGCGCACCAAGCTTAGCATTCTTTGTTAGGTTTTTTGCGCCGTACCTTTTTCTCGCAATCCATCATCGTTAATGTTACTATTTTTATAATCCATAGATAAGGCCAAAACTAGAATACTCCTCAGCTATTTGGCACCCCTATCACCACAACCTTATTCAATACAATAAACTAATCCAAAATAACTCTTGCCGATTTATTTTATGGCACTACAACCGAACACCCAGCGAAATTTATTGAAGTCACGTCTGCATTTAGAATCGCTAGACTCGCGACGTAAGGTTTCTTTCTTGTCATTCTATCATAAACTGTACCACCAACCCACATTATATCCGTAATTCATATCACGACCATATTACTTATCTCACCGCATTGATCGACACAAAGTTACAATTTGTGCGTGTAACTCCAGATGATTTCTTTTTTTTTTCAAATCATTGATACCTTACTCGCAACATGATTGGAGTGACCTCGCGGCTGATATTGTGAGTAGCATTAACTACGAGAACTTTCGTAAAGCATTACAA